AAGTGAAGATGTGGGCAAGAAAAAAAAAAAGAGGAAAAGTTCTTGAATCGTTCAATATCCACTCTGATGCTGGGTCAGCAAGCAAATGCAGATGGCGAATTGGCAGTATTTTCCACAATCTTTTGAAGATGTCACCGTATTGTGCTCACTTCAGAAGCACATATACTGAAGATGTCACCGTATTCCAGTGTGGTAATCTCCATGGGGCAAAGGTATATTTCTACTACGGCACTGGAAACATTTTGAACAATTCTGAATTTGTATAGTGTTCTGTAAATTGCCAAGATAAAGTTCTCTTGAGTAATTCAATATGGATGCAGCTAATGGAAAGAATTTCATATTCATTTCAAATTCATATTCATAGGCAGAATAGTCTGTCTCAATTTGAAGAAATCAGAAGATCTGAGTGATGGTCTTACTTTTGTTATCCTGGACAAGTAACTCCATTTGTCCTGGTTTCGAGTCCCTCATCTGCAAAATTAAAGGGAACTTTAAATTTTTCCTAAAATCTGTAATTCACTCTAACAAGTCTACAGAAACCCCTGATTTCTCTCTCTCCCTTTCCCTCCCCCCCACTCTCTCTCTCTCACACACAACTGCATTGCATTAAGATGAAGGAAATTTAATGTAGACTTATGAAACATTCAAAACATTGGCATTAATCTATTTTATTTTATTTTTTATCCTTTTAAAGATTTTTATTTATTTATTTGACAGAGAGAGATAGCGAGAGCAGGAACACAAGCAGGGGGAGTGGGAGAGGGAGAAGCAGGCTTCCCGCCGAGTAGGGAGCCCGATGCGGGGCTCGATCCCAGGATCCTGGGATCACGACCTGAGCCAAAGGCAGACGCTTAACGACTGAGTCACTCAGGTGCCCCGGCATTAATCTATTTTAAAGTAGGAAGTGATGAGAGGTGATGATTTATTGGCCATATTATGTATTTCCAGACATGATTTTTGATTTATAAGACAGGTATCGCTTTTTTAAAATTAGTTATTGATTGGGTGTGGTGTATTTTAGTTACTGCAACTTCAGGAGCTTTACCAGGTTAAGAAAGGGGATTATACTGCTCTGAGCCTGTAACCAGTAAGTATGTCCATGTTCCATGGTAGCTAAATGGCTCATGTATAAATGCTTGTTCCAACTGCTGCAAGGTACGTCAAGGAACAATATTTGGTAAGTTATGTTTACACATGGGGTATAAATGTGTTTTTCCCACCACAGCTTTTTGTTTGTGTGAGCTAATCATTGTAACCATCCATGCTCTCAAGTGAGATGTGACTAAGAGATTTGGTATCTTCAGTCCACCACTGTCTGGAAGATTCCTACTAGATGAACGAGTGGAAAAGGCACTCCACTTCAGCCATTCTGCACTGTTTTCAGTTTCCTGAAAGCTTTTTGATGATGTTTGCTTATTGGGTTTTGTTTAGTTTTGTTTTTTTACTTTTGTGTGTGTGTGTGTGTGGAAAATTTCTAACATAGATAAACAGAATTGTGTAATGAATCCCACTTACTCATCACTCAACTTCAACCATGAATATTCTACCACTCTTGTTTTATCTATACCACCCACTCTCCAGCCCCTCTATTTGGTTATCATTACTTTTTAGAGTTTTTATGGTAAAATGTACATATATTGAAATGCACAATTAATTGAACCATTTTGACAACTAGATACACCTGTGTACCTACGATCTTACCAGAGTTCCATCTCATGAGAAAGAGTCCTCCTCCCTTCCCAGGTGATTCCCTGAATCCCCCAGAAGCAACCATTGTTTTTTTCACCCTAGGTGAGTTTTGCCTATTCTAGCACTTCACCTAAGTGGAAACATACAGTATTTATATTCCCTTTTATGTCTGGCTTCTTTTCTCAGCATTAGGTTTGTGAGATTCGGTCATGTTGTTGCAGGTATCAGTATAATAAGTCATCCTTTTTAATACTGAGTGGTAATATAATACCACAACTTGTTTACCCATCCTCTTGTCAGGAGACATTTGGATTGTTTCCAGTTTGGGGCTATTGTGAATAAAACTGCTATGAACATTGTTTATACAAGTCCTTTTGTGAAAGTATATTTCCACTTATCTTGGACAATGACCTAGATCTACAATTGCTGGATCTTAAGGTGGGTATATGTTTATAAGAAACTACCACACCCTTTACCACATTTTTAGACTCCCACCAGCAGTATATATGAGTTCTAATTGTTCTGGCTCTTCATCAACACTTGGTATTTGTCGGTCTTAAATTTTAGCTATTCTATTGGGTGTGAAGTAGTATCTCAGTTTAGTGTTAACTTGCATTTCTCTAATGACTAAAGATATTGAGCATGTTTTTGTGAGCTTATTCCTTTGGCCTAATGTATTTTTTACACATGATTCCCTTGCCCAGAACACTTAACTACCTACCACACCTTTCTAGTTAACTACTTACTCCTTATCTAGTCCTCACTTTGTTGAAAGGAATCCTTCCTCCCATAAAGTTAGGAGATGAGGAAATCAGCCTAAAAGATCCATGAGAACCAGTTTTCTAGAATCAGCATCAACCACTGTCTTTTTTGCAGCACCCTGGAACCTTAGGGCAGGGGAAACTCTCCTTTCCTGCACCCTCCTCCAGTCCCCAATTTCAGAAATACAAACAGCCTTAGTCATAGTCGCTCATTCAGTTTGACGTTACCAGGTACAAGAAGCTTGTAGGGCTGGGACCCATGTTAAGACAGGGACATGCCATAAAATCTAAAAGGAAAGTACAATTATTGGCAATAGAAAGCTTATCAGCATGCATAGGAATGTTGAGTGACAAGGGGATATATAAATGGTGTGCCGAAAGTACCTACTCAGAGGCATAACCGATTATCAGCACACTACTAAAGCTTCCTCTTAATGGGAGGAAACCAAATGTCCAATTTCCAATAAGATTGGGCATCTTACTGAAGAACAGTAAGCACCTCGGCTTCAGTATTTCCCTTCAAAGGGGTAATCCCGTGGCTTTCAAGCCTGTAGAGAAATAGGGTGATTACAATTCTCAGGCCTCCCTTAGTCTGACCTCTAGGGACTGCCTGGGGCTCGAGGAGAAGCATGCAAGGATCCTATGTGGGAAGAAAGTAGGACTGCTATTAGAAGGGTTACAGTTTATGCTTCTCATATCTTGGCAGCCTTGGTTGCTGGCCTTTTGGTCTCCTCCCATTAAGAGGAGGCCTTAGTAGTGTGTTGATAATTGGTTATGCCTCTGAGTAGGTACTTTCGGCACACCATTTATATATCCCCTTGTCACTCAACATTCCTATGCATGCTGATAAGCTTTCTGTTGCCAATACCTGCATCCCTTAGCCTGAGAGCGTTATCTGACCACAGGAACATTCTGGGTGCCAGCGAGTTGACATCCCTGGGACCAGCCTCAAACTCATGACAGATGGGAGTTAGTGGCTAAGTCCTCCATCTTTCTCATCCTTTGGGTGAGACAACTCTCGGGTCTGCTCTACACCACTTCCCAGAGTTGCACAGTAGAAGTAGAAATGAGCCCAAGTTCCCCACAGCTATAACATACTCATGAATTCATCTACTGGCTTCCTTCCCTTCCCTGTCTCACTGCCCCCTCCCCCCACCGATGTTTCCTGAGATTGCCTTCCAAATAAACTCCTAGCCTTGGCCCTAGTCTCAGGGTCTGTTCTGAAGAAACCCAATGTAGGCTAGCTTAATATCAAGCAAACTGACTAATAAAATATTGGTATGAACCTATTGTTAGTAAATCTTCTGATACTTGAAATGGTTCACATCTAGCATTCCTAAAGACCTAGAATTCACTTCCGTTGAGTTTACCTAGCGTTATCCCCACAATATTATTGTTCGAGAGTTCTTCTGAGGTAAAGATCTAGTTTAAGGAACAATCTCAAAACCAAGGAAGTGTGTCTCACTTATTTGAGTTCAGATGAAGAGTCAGCTACTTGATTTTTCAAGGCAAATTGGTACAATATATAATATTGTTTCCCAGCATATTAAGATACTTCTGTGTATAATAGAAGATATCCTCAACGTGTTGATATTTGGGTTTTACTCACTTTAGCCTATTTTTGGAAACAAAGATGGAAAGGAAGTGTAATTTTGCTGAAGAAAGATCACTGATGCTGGTGTATGTATAGGCATGCATGTATATGGACCCAGGAGTCCTCAGCATCACTTGCCTTCCTTTCTCTCACCTAAAATATTTTGGCAAGCGTGGGTTTATGGATATGTCATGAGTTAAGTTTGGTAAATAGCTCCACATAATATTTTTATAGGCCAAGAATCAGAAGAGTATCACAAAATTGAAACAGTGTCAGGGTTTCATGGCTCAAAGGTGTTAGAAATCTTCTGGCACCAAGATATGTTTTGCTTCACTATCCATTAAGGTATTTCTTCTTTTTTTTTTTTTTTAAGATTTTATTTATTTATTTGACAGAGAGAGAGACAGCGAGAGCAGGAACACAAGCAGGGGGAGTGGGAGAGGGAGAAGCAGGCTTCCCGCTGAGCCAGGAGCCCGATGTGGGACTCGATCCCAGGACCCTGGGATCATGACCTGAGCCGAAGGCAGTCGCTTAACCAACTGAGCCACCCAGGCGCCCAAGATATTTCTTCTTAAATCCCAATTCCAAATCCATAAATTCAGGCCTGAAACTTAGTACCCTAGCCCTCCTCAAAATAATTATCTTCCAGATGCTTTAATATTAATTTCACTGATCGCCTCTAGTGCCATGGGCTTATCTTGTGATGCCTTTAGAGAAATTCTTGAAGTCAACGTAGTACAGTGCAAAGAAACCTACTGGCCCAATCACAGATTATTTAATTCTCCATCTTTTGCTAATCAATTAACAATGAAAGACTGTACACTTTCCCTAACCAGTATCCTTATAAACATAACCCCTTTCTTGTTCTCTCTCCCCACCATGTTTTCTTTCCTGAGGTAACTGGGTCCAGTGTTAATAAACCTCTGCAATCATACTTGGTTTTATGTGCTTCACAGATACCACATTTTTTACAAACTGAAGGTTTGCAGCAACCCTGAGGCACACGAGTTCATCGGCGCCATTTTCCCAATGTTTGTTCATTTTTGGGTCTCTGGCTCATCTTGTGATAATCCTTTGCAATAGTTCAAACTTTCTCATTGTTCTTGTATCTGAATTGCTGCAAACTCATGATAAAACTTTGACAGATGAGTTTCTCAAGGATGAGCAAAGAAAGTGGTTTCTTGAGATGGAATTGACTCCCGATGAAGATGCTACGAAGACTGTTGAGATGACAACAGAGGATGTAGAATGTGACACGCACTTAGTCGATAAAGCAGTGGCAGGATTGCAGAGGCTTGACTCCCAATTGTGAAAGAAGTTCTACCATGGGTAAAATAGTATCAGACAGCATCGCATGCTACAGAGGAATCATTTGTAAAAGGAAGAGGCAATGGATGTGGCAGACTCCGTCGTGTTATTTTGAGAAATTTTGACAGCCACCCCAACCTTCGGCAAGCACCATCCCGATCAGTCAGCAGCCATCAACACTGAGGCAAGACCCTCCACTATCAAAGAGATGATGACTCACCAAAAGCTCAGATGATCATTAGCACTTCTTAACAATAAAGTATTTTTAATTAAGGTATGTACATTTTTTAGACAGAATGCTATTATTGTACACTTAATAGACAAGTGTATACCTAACTTTTATATGCACTAGGAAACCAAAAAATTCATTTAACTCACATTATTGCAATATGCCCTTTATTGTGACAGTCTGGAACTGAATCTGCAATATCTCTGAGGTATGTCTGTATTCTGATTGTTCTTTGATTCTCCCCAGATCAGCTCTGTTTTCCTCTGTTGTGTTCTTTGCCCTGGGAAGCTGGCTTCTATGGACTGTGTCACCCTCTAGCAAGTAGGAGTCGCCAGCCGGAGGTCAGAATGTGGGAGAAGAGAGATGCCAGGGCATTTATTCCCTCCCACCCACTCTGCTTCCCTGTGTTTTGTCTATGGCCTTATCACCAAACTCCCATAGGGCAGTCCCTTTGACTTTAGCTCTCAACCAGGCTCTGATAACAGGGTCGAGTCCCCCTGCTGTTCAGGCTGGGGATTGCAACTGACCCCCACTCTGTCTAGTCTCTGGTTCCTCCCTCCTGGTTTCCTCTAACCCTACCTTTATTAAAAAGCCTCTACATGGGGCACCTGGGTGACTCAGTCGGTTAAGCATCTGCCTTCGGCTCGGGTCATAATCCTGGGGTCCTGTGATCTAGCCCCCATGTCAGGCTCGCTCTACTCAGTGGGGAGTCCGCTTCTCCCTCTCCCTCTGTCCCTCCCCCCTCCTCTTGCTTGCATGCTCTCACTCTCAGCGCTGTCTCCCTCTTTCAAATAAATAAATAAAATCTTTTTTAAAAAGCCTCTACAGGGCGCCTGAGTGGCTCAGTTGGTTAAGCGACTGCCTTCGGCTCAGGTCATGATCCTGGAGTCCCGGGATCGAGTCCCGCATCGGGCTCCCTGCTCAGCAGGGAGTCTGCTTCTCCCTCTGACCCTCCTCCCTCTCATGCTCTCTGTCTCTCATTCTCTGTCTCAAATAAATAAATAAAATCTTTAAAAAGCCTCTACACCACAAAGCTGAGTGTCTCTCTGATTCTTGCTGAGCCCCTGACTGATAGATCTCCTTCTTTCAAGTTTCTGGCAGTCCATGACACAGTGACAGATGTAGGGATCACAATCAGATTCCTCTGAGCCTGGAATCAAGTAAGTACCTGTGCACACAGAGACACCTCATTTCCCTGTGAGCTACTCACAATACTCACAGTGTCAGAAATTAAAAAAAAAAAGAAAGAAAAGAAAAAAATATAAGCATTTGTCTGAAGGGCACTATGCCATTTGATCTAGAAGCCCCTAGGAAAATATTATGTTTGCATCTTTAAGGTCAAGAATGGTATTTTCTGGGAACTGAAACAGAACTCCAGAAAATCTGGCTGTGAAATTATTGGCGTGTACCTCAGTTAGCTATTGCCACAAAAACACTGTGTAACAAACTTTCCCCAGAACTCAGCACATTAAAATAACAATCAATCTGACACAGCCACGGGCCGGCTGGGTGGCTGCTCTGTGTGTCTTCACCCTCCTTGGACAATCACTCCATCTCACATAGCTGCAGGTCAGCTGGGAAGCTGCTCTTTATGTCTTCACCCTCTTTGGACCAGGGGCTAGTCAAGACATGCTCTTCTCGTGATGATGACAGAAGTGCAAGAGGGCGAGCCCAACCACTCAAGCACGTTCCAAGTCCCTGTCTGTGTCCCATCTGCCGAAGAACGTCACATGGCCAAACCAAAGTAAAGGAGTAGAAGAAGAATATTCCTTTCATGGAGGTAAAAGGGGAAAAGGGTAAATTTTTTTTTTTTTAAGATTTTATTTATTTATTTGTCAGAGAGAGACAGAGCACAAGCAGGGGGAGAAGCAGGCAGAGGGAGAAGCAGGCTCCCCGCTGAGCAAGGAGCCCGATGTGGGACTCGATCCCAGGACCCTGGGATCATGACCTGAGCTGAAGGCAGACGCTTAACCAACTGAGCCACCCAGGTGTCCCATGGGTAAATATTTTTGACAGTAACCTACCACAGTGGATAAGCTACAGAAAAGTCATTCAAGGGCAGGCTACAGTTTGTTCAATTAAAGGGAGGAGAATTTTGGTGTTTTGTTTTGTTTTTCAGTTTTCCTCTCAGCACAGCTGAACTAGGGTGACTTTTCAAAATACCAGGCTAAATTTCTCAGTGTTCGGGAACAGTTTCTTGATACAGAGATGATACTGACCTAGAAATAGAGGCATTTTGAGGTTTTAGATGTTAAGCAAATGCTACAGAGATTCCGTTATCTGTTCGTGAGTAAAGTGGGATTGCCAGACTCTGAGACCTGGATCTAGCCTTGTTCATTTATTTTTCTCTGCAAGGTTCAGATCCCCCCAAAATTACTCTCATTCTGCATCCTGACTGTGGAATATGCCTATTAGTGATTCCACAGCCTAGATATCCAAAAACTAGGATTCAGAGCACTTACCCCAAGTGGTACCCAAAACCAGTAATTTTTTATCTGCATAGGGTTTCCTCAATGAATAACTGATTTGTACTTTAACTGAGATTTATTCCATTTGGAAGGGGTTAAAGGTCAAGAGTTCAATAGTTTTCACCAGTTTAGTGCACCCTGGTTCTTTCTTGCCTAAGAAAGGGGAGAAATGTTTCTCTTGCATAGGGTTTAAAAGGAAGAAAAGCCCTTAGTTATCTTGGTCATCTTTGGGAAGGAACAAATTGTTTAAAATGGTGAACAGCAAAGACAATAGCTAGAAGATCAACCAGAAATCTCCATTATGCTCCGAGCAGTGTGTGAACCCAACGAGTGTCCATAAATGATGGATTGATTTCAAAAGAAGCATTAGCTTGGGATTCTAGGTCTCAAGTGGCAGTAGAGGATGGTACTGGGACTGGAATTTAAGAATAAATTGATTTGAATAGATGAAGAAGGAAAATGCACTGGGAGATGGACAAAGAGTGTGAGTAAAGTTTTGGAGTTAGGAATGAACATGAATGTGTAGGGACTAGTGAGAAGACCATCTTGATCAAAATGGGGAAGTGGTCACAAATTAGATGAGATAGAGACTGTAGTACCAGCATATGGGGGTCTTCATAGGCCAAAGAAGTTAAGTGGAATGTGGTGGATGCTAGAAGCTGTCGGAATTTCTTGGTGGGGAGATTTTTTAGTACAAACATCTCCAGTCGTCACAACTGGCTGGTTTTCATTGTGACTCTTGGCCAACTTTTGACTTGGAGATAGTAATGATCATGGCGGATGAAAGAGCAGATGATTCATGTGTATTTTGACTCCTTTACAAATTTGATTTTAGTCTGAATCATAGAAGGAGTCTGTAGCCTTTTCCCATGGTTTTTGTTGGCAGCAGCTGTGCATTCCCATGGGAACATACACACTTACCTACTCAAACTTTCCTCTCATACTCTCAGCTTGTTCACTTGGATGTTTCATCTTTTCTACAGAGCATATTCACATATAAGCTTAGAGCACAGTCTATTTTTCTTCTACAACTGAGGAGTCATCCTGAATGTTTTCAAATACATAAAACTCCAGGTATAACTCCAAACAAAACATGATGAGAGGAGATTTTTGGGTAAACCATGGTATGATAACATCGCATTGAATACCATCTGCTGTAAACACTTCAGCCTTCTGCAGTGGCCAGATGAAGGAAATGTGGCTCAGTGTGCTTCTTCAGTGGTTGATTCCAGAAAGTTTTTGCTAAACTCTCATCCCAAATAGGAAGAACCTACCTCCCACGGGTTGAAGAAAGTTGCCGTCCATCGGGTAACATTGCCCTTTTTATCTGTAGGAAAGAAGTTTCCCTCTGATCGTTATGGGCAAAGCAGCCAACAGTTACCTCCAAAATTCTGCACTGAACTCTTTACTCATATAGGACATCCTAGTTTCTATGTTGCTTTGTTCCTTTGCCAAATGCTAATGGCTTGAAATCCAAAATAGATGAAGTTAATTAACAGCAGTTGCATATTTTTGAGAAGCTTTGAATTTGGTTATTGCAGATTTTCTAAGATGTTGCTTTCCTTTTTTTTTTTTTTTAAGATTTTATGTATTTATTTATTTGAGAGAGAATGAGAGAGAGCACATGAGAGGGGGGAGGGTCAGAGGGAGAAGCAGACTCCCTGCTGAGCAGGGATCCTGATGCAGGACTTGATCCTGGGAGTCCAGGATCATGACTTGATCCGAAGGCAGTCACTTAACCAACTGAGCCACCCAGGTGCCCTGCTTTCCTTTTTTTATACAGAAAGCATTTGTGGACCTAGCTTCTAGACTAAATGCTGGTGATTCAGATGTGAATAACACTTCCTCTGGTGTGTTTCAGGTAAGACAGATAGGTAAAAAATAAGCTGTAATAAACTTTAATAAGTCCTTGAACAGAGGTGCCCAAATTCTATGGGGGCGTAGAAGGAAATATAATTGATTCTGTGGCTCCAGGGAGGCCTTCACAGAGCAGAAGGCATTTGGGCAAGTCCTGAAGGAGAGGCAGGAGCTCCCTAAATGGAGTGTGAGCACTTAAAGTAGAGAATGGAATGGCTAATCCAACACATCAAAGTGCGGTGCTAACTCTAACTTCTTTCCAGTCCAGATGAGACAAGGCAGGAATCCAGGGAGAGACAGGTGTCTGGGAGGCTGCTCTCTCCAAGGGCAAATTTCTCAGCTCAGACCTGCTGCAAGCAGAAATTTCAGGACTGCAGAAGCAGGCTTGTTAAATCATGAGGGTAGGACTTCCTGGGGAGCAAGATACTTGCAAACATTTTCATGGAAGTGAGACAGTGGACTCAGAATCTAACTGCAGGCTTTCCAGACTGTCAGGAAACATTATTTCCGGAGGAGGAGCCACATTCTTCTAGAGGGAAATAAAAGGAAACACCCCCAAGGTTTTAGGAAATGGAAGTGGTTCCAGCCTCCTTCCCTAGTCCCAAGAATGCTTCATTGTCATTTTCCTGACCTTGCACTTTTCACTTTATCAAAATATAAGTTCATTCTCTGCATCAGTTTCTTACAGCTGCTGTAACAAATCACCACATACCTGGTGGC